CGTGCTGCATGGCCAACACATGGAGGTGTTTGTTATGTGGGAAGAGTTGAGTGCCTTTTTCCTTCAACCAGGGGGTTGGACTGCTCTGCACACACACACATAAAGTGAAGGGGGGCACACACTGGGTGAAAGGGGAGCAGCACAGGAGGGGTCACTCTAGTTTGAATTTAAAGAGCACTTTTTTCACACAATGAGGGGGAAAAAAGATTGTTTGCCGCCACCATTTTTGTTTGCATATGTTTTTACATGCTGGTGAGTCATCTCACCGAGTTCTCTCTACGATACACACATGCACACACACTCCCACCAGAGATATTTTTGTGTAATTTGTAATCCGAGTGTAGGTGTGTGTGTGTATCTGACTGTTTACAAAGCCCTCCCGCTCTCTCATTGGCTCGCATCTAAACTTAACCTGTGTAGCAACCAATGATCTGTCAGTACAGTAATGATGAGACCTTTCCTCTCCAAAAAGAAACATGATGCCCGCCGGTGACCCCCACCCATCCAAACCCTCTTCGCTGGTCCCTCCGTCCAGGGTAGCATTACAACGAGGCAGGCATGTGTAGACAATTCATCTTGATATACCTCAAATCTTTATTGTAAAGGTTAATGTAGTGAAACAATAATGTTTAGCAATGAGAGTGACATTAAAGTCACAGCAAAATGATTGTCCGTTTTTTATTTTATTTTAATTTCTTTAAAGGAGCGTGTGCAGTATAAACTGTTTTATGGTTTGACATCTTTTGAGTTGTTTAATTTATTGTTTGTAGGTTTGCACATTGTCCTTTTTTGGAATTAAGAGAAAGATTAAAAGAAGGAATAAGAAATAGGGAGGAATAGGGTATAGGGAATACATAATAATACATGATGAAGTAGCAGTAGGAGAGGAAGAAATCAGTGAAGAAAGATTATGAATAAAAAGAAAAGCGTAGTAATTGAGAAAATTGTTTAAGATCAAGGTAAAAATGACACATCAAGGACACATAATTTCTGTTTTGCATCACTTTTTGGCTTATTTTGTGTTTG